TGGTTGGTGTAACGGCCACCACGACCTCTTCCTCTACCACGAGAATTTACAGATTTCTGATTAAATTCTCCAGAGCCTTGTACATGAAGTGCCTGCTCAATGGGTTTTTCAGATTTGTTCCCATTTAGACGCTGCTCATGGGCTCGTAAAGAACCTGACAGTAACTTCACTGTCATTGTCGATACATCATGGGATTCTTCAATTGCTGCCACGATGTGCTCAAATCTGGGTGTTAAAGTCCTCAGAATCTTCTCTACTTTCTCTTGCTCCGTGTATGTTCCTCCATTTGTCTTCATGTTGTTTGTCAAAACAAGAAGACGATTGATGTAAGCTTCAACCGTTTCAGTGGATTCCATCTGCAGTAATTCATACTGCCTCTTCAGTGTTTGGAGTCTCACCTTCTTCACTTTCTCGTCTCCCTGGTACACTGATAACAGATTGCTCCAGGCCTCATGTGAGGTGTTTGCACCTTCAATCTGCTCGAATGTTTCATCACTCATCCCTTGATGGATGAAGTATAACGCTTTCTTGTCTTTTTTCCTTAATTCACGATGGGTTGCCTTCTGCGCCTCATTAGCATTGTCTGCTAATGCAGATATCCCATTCTCCACGATATCTAACATCTCATGGTAGTCGAACAGCACCTTCATCTGGACGCTCCATCTGTTATAATTTTTCTCATTCAATATAGGAACTAGATAATTGTGATGTCCCCTGAGGATTCATCATGAACCAAGAGGCTCTAATACCAGATGTTGGAACAAAAGAAAGAAAAAAAAAACTTTGAAAGTGCAGCTTTATAGGATCTGGATCCTAAATTGTAGTGCTTCCTGGCCTATTTATACTTAACCATGTAGCAAAGAATATGCGTGTGAGAAATACAATAATCTAATTCTCTTACTCTCTCTGTACGTTGCAAGCTGCACTTTCAAAGTTTTTTTTTTCTTTCTTTTGTTCCAACACAAAACACAAATTATGAGATCCATTTCACTCTTCTAATTTACCAATAGTACTAACGACAAGTAGTTCAAAACTTTTGAATTTTAATATAAGTTGGAAGGAGACAATAGATTACAGGGATTGAGCTCGTAGAATGAAAAGGCGAACGTGAAGATCGCACTCCATGATTAGCAGTCGAGCGGCCTCCGGCGCCTCTGCAACGGTTGCGGTACATCCTTGGCCAGAAATTGAAGTCGATCAGCCGATCGGAGTGTAAATTAGCAATTATATCTGAATCGCAACTTTCTGTATTGAAGTCGATCAGCCGATCTAAGCTTAAATTAGCAATAATATTCGGATAAGCTATTTGTACTAGCTGGTAACTGGTAAGCACCTTTATTTGTCAATGTAATGCTAGTGTATTAATTCACACCGACACAAAATGTTAGTATAAATTTTTATTAACGCACTAACATTTTGTGCTAGTGTGAATCATCTAAATATTAGTGTATATATTTGGTGTATCTTTGGAATATTTTTCATTTTTTTGTGTGTATATGTAGCATGGTTGAATCTAAAATAATACGAAGTATTTGAATCGCCAACTTGCACCTAAATACGGAGTACAATGTATAATGCTATTTGTATCCCATTTTGTACACCGCAGAAATGTACTAACATTTTGTGTTGGTATAATACTAATTTTTGTTAACGAACCAACACTTTGTATCAGTGTAAATTTTTGTTAACGTACCAACACTTTGTATCAGTGTAAATTTTTGTTAACGTACCAACACTTTGTGTCAGTGTGAACCATCAAAATATTGGTACATGCCTTTGGTGTACAAATGAAATACAAATTTTGGGATACATGTAGCATGCTCCAAATACAATAAATGACTAGGCCTGGACACGGTACCGGTTCGGTACCGTTACCGGCGCCGGTACCGCCGGTACCCACGACCGTCCCCGTCTTCCGATTCGTCACCCAGTACCAGGAACCGGTACCGGTACCGCCCCGTTCGGTACCGGTTTCGGTGCCAATATTCCCGTCACGGAACCGGCGGTACCGGTACCGGTTCCGGTACCGTACCGTTAAATTTTTTTCGGTTTCCTACTGCTCTTCCTGCTCAGCTGCTGTCTTGCAAAAAAAGTAATTGGAGCGTGAGGGGGTCCCCTCAAACGGCTATGATGNCGGTGCCAATATTCCCGTCACGGAACCGGCGGTACCGGTACTGGTTCCGGTACCGTACCGTTAAATATTTTTTTTCGGTTTCCTGCTGCTCTGCCTGCTCAGCTGCTGTCCTGCAAAAAAAAAGTAATTGGAGCGTGAGGGGGTCCCCTCAAACGGCTATGATGCTGTTGAGGGGAGGGGGGGGGGGGTTTGGGGGGTTAGGGGAGGGGGGAGGGGGTAGGGGGCACTCTACACTATAAATACACCATTTTTTTAAACAAATAACACACCAATACACCATTCTCATAATCTCATTTCTTCTTACTCCTCTCTAATTCTCTTAATTTCATAAATCTTATATCTCAATTCTTATTATCTTTTATACATTTTATATTTATTATAATATAAATATATATTAACATATTATATAATATATAAATATATACTCATATAAATATATAATAATAAATTTTTAGTTATACATTCATTATTCATATAAATATATAAAAATGTCGAGAGAGTCCGGTAGAGGAGAGGCAAAGCTAAAGCCACCTCCGACGGTTCGACCTCACGCAGTTCTCGAGGAAGACACTCCGTCTCTTCATTTCCTACTGTCCCAGATCACTTAATCGGGGACGGTATGACGGATGAAGAATTCAACCAGATATATTCTTGCAGAGGGGACGCGAATCTCCTCACTCTTGATAGTGTATTCGAAGATCTTGATGAAGCAGGAGTGGATAATCTGGACGGGGACGATGAGCCTACACCGCAGAGCAACGACGCCGATGTGGAGGCAGGTGAGCCCAAGACCTCTCGAGGTCCGGACAAAGGTAAAAAAAATATAAATCAGATTTATTTGTTTATCATTTTGACAAAGAAACAAAAGATGGCATAGTTTATGGAACTTGTAAACATTGTGGGACCGTCATAAAAATGGGAGTTTCCGGTAGTTATGGCGGTCCGGAAAAACACCTAAGGTCGAGGCATCCCGTGGAGTACGCCAAATACGAGGCAAAAAAGAAGGGACGGCAAGAAGTGAAAACCCAAATTTCTCGGTTTGCTAACAGAGGTAAGGGCGGCCTTTTTTCTTATAGCGACAAGCAAAATAAGCAAAAAATGGCCGAAATGATTTGTGAAGAAAATTTGCCATACATGTTTTCTGAAAAACTTGGATTTATTGATTATTGTCAACAGGCATTAAACGCTCAAGCACGAGGTTTTTCAAGAAAAACAATTAAACGAGAAATTATTCGTCTTTTTTTCTCAATTTTAATTCTCGTGTTGCTATTTGTTCTGATATTTGGGGTGAAACTTATCATAATTTGTCTTATATGGGTGTTACTTGTCATTGGATAGATAGTGATTGGATTATGCATAAACGTGTTCTTGCATTTCGTGATTTCAATGAACAGCATACAACTGAAAATATTTTCCTATTGCTTCAAAGTATTCTGCGGGAAACAACTTATCTGAAAAAGTGTTTTCATTTGGTTTTGATAATGCTACTAATAATACTGCAGCTATTCCTAGACTTAGAGAAATTTGCCCACCGTCTACGTCTATGGGTAGATTTCTGCATCAACGGTGTGCCTGTCATGTTTTAAATTTATGTGTTCAACAGGGACTAGAAGCTATGGGCGGAGTTTTGACGAATATTAAAGAAAGAATTAAAAGAATTTGTGGGGCTCGTCTTGTTTCGAGGTCCTGGAAGATGTTCTGTAAGTCTAAGGGTAAAAAAGAAATAGTTTTTGCCAAAGATATCAACATTAGATGGAATAGTACTTACAAATTGATTGATCAGATTCTAAGATATAAAGAGGAACTTGCTGAATTTTTTAGGGATGAACTTTGTATAATCATTGATCCTTTTGAATTTGTTATTGTTGAAAAATTGAATGCCGTATTAGAAGTTTTTAATAATGCAACTCTTACTTTTTCTCATGTTTACCAACCAACTACAAATACATTTTTTAAAGAGTGCGTTACAATCGCAACATGTTTTCGTGAAAGTATGGCTGATCCGGATTTGTACCCTTATGTCTCTCCTATGAGAGATAAATGGTGTGCTTATTATTTGTACATTCCTGATATTTATAAAATAGGTATTATTTGTGATCCACGCTTTAAGATTGAAAATTTTAAAATTTTAATTGAGTATTACTACACTTGTTTTTTAGATGAAAATAGTTATTACTACAGTCATTTAATAGAATGGAAAAAAGAAAGAGATAATGCTATAACTTTTTTTGAGAATTTGTTTAAGGAATATCAAGGGTTATACGACACTGTACAAGAAGAAACATCACCACCTCCGCCCCCGAAATCAAAAAAAGGTTTTGCCGGAATGGTCGGTGGTCTTCTTGCAAAGAAAGGGAAGCGTGCCCATTCTTCGACGAGTTCAAGTGGTACAACAGTAAGCTCGCACAACGAACTTGCTATGTACCAGGGTGTGCCATGCGATTGCGATGACGACGACGTGAATTTTGACGTGCTCGGATGGTGGAAGCGGAACGAACACATGTTCCCATGTCTCGGCATGCTAGCAAGACAAGTGTTATCCGTTCCGGTATCAACCGTAGCAGTTGAACGAGAATTCAGTGCTAGCGGCAAGACATTCTAACCGACTTTCGAATTGTCTTAGCGCTGAATCTCTTGAAACACTGGTTTGTAACCAAGATTGGCTCTTGGCAAGACGTCGAGCTCAAGAGTCATGGTACCAACTCGATTCGGAGCATTACATGAATGCAACAACAGATGGTAGTCCGAGTTCTGAAGAATAAGTTATAATTTTTTTTATGTTAATGTAAATATGTAATTAGTTTTTTTAGGTGAGCGATATATAAGCTCCTTCGAGGGTTTCTTTACGGTTCTTTACCTCGTCGCTTTTTTTGAACCGTGAGGATATTAAATGTGGTTGTTCTTCAGTTAGTGTATTATTCATTTAAAATATTTAAATAAAAACTACATTTTTAGATTTTTTATTTCATTCTTTCCTTAAACAATTGCGAATTTACAATTTTATACTTTAAAAATTTTAAAAAAAGCAAAAAAAAAGGGGGGGGGGGCAAAACTGGCCGGTCCGGTACCGGAACCGCTGGTCCGGGAACCAGAACCGGTACCGGCCGGCACGGTGATGGTTCCGGTGACATGGGGTGGCGGTACCGGAACCAGCGGTTCCAAAACCGGAACCGTCCCGGAACCGTACCGTGTCCACCCCTATAGATGACATGTTGCCTAAAATGCCATTAAAGTGTTTGATTTTTGTCAAAAGTACTCTCACTTTTTTTTCAACCATGCTAGGGTACACTGTACATCAAGAAATGTACCTCAAGTTATATCCCAATGAAATGCACAATCTTAAATGTTCATACTGACACAAAGTTCTAGTTCAAACAAAATAACATGCACTGAATTTTTGTGACAATGCAAACCATGAGAATAACATTACACTATCACAAAATGTTGGTGCAAACCTTTGCAGTACAAAGTGGATAAACTTTTTGAGGTAGAAATAGCTTAATCCTTTTTTGGTTGTTATACTAGTATCACACCCATGCATTGCACGGATCATATTTACGTTAGTAAATTATATTAACATCATTTTTCAAAGATACAAATTGATAATAATCTAAGTAGTGTTTACAAATTAATAACACATTGTCACCAAAAGTCAATTTCTGAATCCCATAAATTTGTAACGAAAATCCTATAAATTTGTAACGAAAATTCGGAAAACTTTCCCAAAATCTTTTTAAGTTTTGTCCTGCCAAAGAATTTTAGCATAAAAGGATGGCTGGTAGTTTTCGTTGTTTGGTAAATGCGTAGTTCTTTGACTCTTATCAGTAAATAAACACTCTCTTCTTTCAATTTTTCTTTGAAAGTGCGTATATTTGAATCTAGATTAGGCATCACTTAATTCGAGATCAAGTCCAAAAGGGATATGCCACAATTTAGTTTGTCGAAACGAAACATCAATTGGCGGACATTTTCTCGAAACACCTTATTAGGGAGAGTTTTTTCCACATTAGGAATGAACTTGGTATTTTTGACATCTCAATGAACTAATTTATTCGTGTGTTTATCGTTACTAACTTGAGTGTCGGAGACGCAATAAATCTTTTTTGTAGAGTCGTTCTTAAAGGTATTTCTCCTCTTGGCACAATCACTTAATTGAAATTGATGATTCTTTTTGAGAAAACCATCTTTCTTTGAAAACCCATTCAAAACCAATGTTTCAGCACCCTTCAAAATTGACTTTTGGCATCCACTGCACTTTAATCAATTTTGGTTGTTCCTTCTAATCAATTAGTTGGATCTGAGTAAATTTTGGCCTGCGAAACCTATCCTAATCGATTAAACCACTTTAAGAAAAATCGATTTTTGTAATACTGAATGCGTTTTTGAAATTCTTAAATTAATCGATTTTTGTATTTCCATTTTAATCGATAAGAACCATTTGAACGAGTTTCTGCCTTTACCTATCATTTGAAATTGATTTTGTTTTAAATTTTAATCGATTTTTTATTCGGTTTTGCCTCTCAAATAATAGATCTGAAGCCAATATCAGATCTAACATCCTTCGTCTTCCTCAGCGGCGCAAGAACCCTAGGATCGTTTATCGTCGTTTATTGGCCTAATTTTCTCAAATTTCTCCAATTTCTCTCAAATTCATCATCAAAGTCATCATAATGCCAAGGAGAAGAACTGAGAAGCTGCCACACGTCCCTGTCGTGAGTTCCATTTGGAGGTTGGACGGCCAAACCTACATCCACACTCAAACCAACATTCGATTCGCCGTCACCGCGGACGTTGAGAAGTTTCACAAAGAGTTTCTTGATCGGGAGGTTATCTCGCCAAAGATTGTTGACCCGTTTCTCTTTCACAAGGATACCTACGCCCCGTGCAAAGTCCCCTTCTAACGAAAAGGTTTGCCCAAATTTATCTCTTTGAAATACGATTTTTATAGTCCAAATCTTATTCGTCAATTTTATTCGAGTCTCCGCATTACTCTTGGAGATAGTCAAGACTTGGTTGTCCACGTTGACGGTAAAACCTTTACTGTTCAAGCCAAAATCTTGACGGCTATTCTTGATCTCTGTCAGGTGATGTCCGTGGAAACTTTGATAACACTTTTGAGGACAAATCCTTTTCGAAACAACTCGGTGTACCTGTTCATAGATTTTCGTATGCCAACTCCTCGAACTCGAGTGTCACTAATCTCACTTTGACTCAAAGGGTGCTTCAATATATTTTTTGTTATATTTTGTTGCCCTGAGACTCAAACCATGGCGTCGTGAACAAGGATGACATCCGACTATTTCACATTCTTTTGAATGACGTCAAATTTGATTGGTTCCACTTCTTTCTCATTGCTCTGCGTGATGGCTCTCGACTCCATCACCTTCGTTTCGCCGTTTCGATCATGCTTATCCTTCTTCATTCGGGAGTGGACTTTTTATGGGACATAAGGGTTCTGGTGAAGAAGACATGCTTCATCTAAGAGTCAAAGTTCACCCGTGTCGTTTTCCGGAACGAGGGTGAAATGCATCAATGCCGAGTGATCGAGCAAGAAGAAAGCATCCATGAGAGCCAAGCTGAGACTGAGGCCATGCGAAGCCATGCTGGAGCCGGACCTAGCAATGCTGGAGAGGGACCGAGCAATGCAAGGGAAGAGTTGAGTCGAGCCGCGGTGAGAGAAGCCCGACTGTAAAAATAACAAATAATGCTTTATAGCTTGAATGAATAGAAGAGGAATACAAAGTATGTATTTATAGGTAGAGGAATATATTCTAGAATCCCCCACATTAATGACTAATTATATAAGGTAATATTATATAATAATAACTCCAACTATAATAGGTAACAACCATAAATATGATATATAATATTAAATATATTAAATAATTGATATATTTAACATGCTCCCAACGTCCTGAATGGTGAAAATTGAACGCCAACTTTACTTGAATCGTGACCATAATTGTAATCAAAAGCTAGAGGCATATCTTCGGCTAGAGTAGACTGAATGCATCCGGCCTAGAAGAGAAGAAGAAGAAGAAAGATTGCCAGGAAAGAGATGTGAAGGTGTTGATGAGGAGAGGAGAAAAGCCGCTGCGAACAGACTCATGCTGCTGACGTCGAAAGAGAGAGAAGGTTGACGCGCGCTAGAGTTGTGCACGACTGGGTTAGAGAAGAAACACAAGGAATGAGGTACTTCCAGAGATGCATGTTGACCGAAGATCTACCCACTAAGCAGGTTGAGGTGATGATCTTGGCGCCAGTAGTTTGGTGGAGTAGGTGTCTCCGGTCAGAGCTGCGGCGCTTAGGAGAAGAGGATGGGGTTAGAGATGCCGGTGATTATAACAGAGTTTTTTTGTATAACAAAAAACTAGAAAACTTTGTTGTTTTAGGAGATGGTGAAGAATTTGGGTCAGAGGAAAACAGTGATCCGGCGGGCGGCAGTTAATGGCGGTGCCGCCCGCCAGAAGCGAAAGCGGAGAAATTTAGGTCACCAAGAACGGTGGCTCCGATACCATGTAAAAATAACAAATAATACTTTATAGCTTGAATGAATAGAAGAGGAATACAAAGTATGTATTTATAGGTGGAGGAATATATTTTAGAATCGTCCACATTAATGACTAATTATATAAGGTAATATTATATAATAATAACTCCAACTATAATAGGTAACAACCATAAATATAATATATAATATTAAATATATTAAATAATTGATATATTTAACACCGACGTCAACGACCATGACCGAAATTGGACAAGCGCGAACCTTCTTGGGTCTGGAGGATTTTGGATGCCATCACATGTGTTCGTGACGACATTAGACAACTTTCCAATCGGGTCACCCGGCTAGAGGATTCCCGCTTCTCTCGCTCTTACTGAGGTCCATGTCACAACTATTCTGGAGGACCCAGGCCAGCAAACTCTCTTTGAGTGTATTCTATGCTTGTGATGCCCTTTTTTTGTGTTAACTTTATGTTTGAGTTGCTTATGACCTTATGTTACTTGACTTTGTTCAAAACATTATGATTGTTAATGCTTTATGTTCAAGACATGTTTGATTATGCTCTTACTTGTGTGTTGGTTTGGCGATATGTTTCTCCTTTAGAACATATTGTCCCTTTGAAAAATCAAAATAGCATTAGTTCACCTTTAAAGGGAAACTCTTGCAAAATTTTCGAAAATTCTTTTTAGAAACTTGTTTTTGAGCTACCCAGGCTTAGTTTAAGGGGGGAGGACCTTTTGATAATTCAAAAAGGGGTTGATATGCACATATTTTATACACTTTTTAGGCATATTTTGAAAGAGTTTTAAGTCCCAATTGAATTTAATAATTACATTTTATTTCATTTTTCCCGTTTTATTTGGGTAGAGCGGTCCTATGCTTGGTTTTATATGTTTTGCAGGTATTTTTGGTCATTTGGATGCACGGAGAATAATTGCAAGAACGGAAAATAATTATGGAAGTTTGGGACTATTCGTATATAGTCCGTATATACCGATTTATCTATAAAATCTACTCCCTTCTCTTCTTCTAGAGGTTGGAACCCCCATTTCTCTCCTCTCTCCAATCTAAAATTCTCCTCCTCCATCACTAATATCTCATCACTTTCTTCATCCAAACACATAGAAATTACTCCATCTTCATCATTTATCATATTTGGAGCTCAAGAACACACCTTCCATTTTGTAAGATTTTAGTGTTTGTAATAAATATTTATTTGTTTAAGCTTCAAAATATGAAATTCTAAATTCCATTGGGGTTAGAAGTTGGTGTAATTAATTGTCCATCTTAATGTTTTAAATATTTTTAACATGGATTGTTGATTTTATTTTTACTTAGATGTTGTATTTAAAAATAAATAAACTTGGAATGTTTGTGATTTATAATTAAGGGCCCAA